TCCCTGTTCTCTGAGCTTCTTTTGATTTTGAGTTCTCTTGAGAGAATGTGCATTCTTTTCTCTCAATCAGTCATTTTCCACAACAGGGACTGTTTGTATTGGTGTCCTTCCATCTTCTGTTGTCTGCCTTTTGCCACCCTTTTCCATTGTGTTGGGAAATTGTGTGTGGTTTTCCTTTTTCTTCAAGATCTCAAGCCCACTAGTCTTTCCCTGACAGCCTTTGATTTTACTTGCCCCTACCCCCTGGTGGCACAGTGAGTTTATGCTGGACTTCTGTTCAGGAGGTTTCAAATCCAGCTGGGGACTGTACTCCTTGGTCCTTGCCAGCTCAGCAAGCGTTTTCGTTTGTTTTGACTCTCTCAAGCACAGCACTGCACTTGAGTCCCTCTCCCTTATCATTAATTGGTGGCTCACTCAGTTTACATGAGTCCTTCTCATATAGGGTTCCTGGTTCAAATCCACCCCTGCATGAGTTACCCTACTGCAGAATTGTAATTTAATTTCAAGGGATAAGTAGGGTTTGGAAAATAGTTCTTTTAATGTTTAAATCTTATTTTTCTGAATGAAGTGCTGCATTCTGTCCTGTAAATTTAGTGTACATTTTTGTATTGTCCACCTCTGTCCATCTCTCTAACTGGACCAATGAGGAGCAGGAGTCTGTTATTGATCTTTATACTGATCATGATTGAACTCTTCAGTAAGTCATGTAACAAAACTGATACTTCTTTTACTAAATATGATACTAACATTAATAACATCAATTTCTGATGAAGAACGTAGATTTAGAAATGGTGTATTTAGTTGTTTTTAATAACTAATGTATTTGTTGTCTGGGTCATTTTTCAAAGAGCTGGTAGTGGATGAGAAAAAGGAGGCGTGGCTTCACTATGATGATTCCTTCTGCTACATCTAGGAGGCAGAATTTTACAGTATGTTACAGAAGGTGTTTGCAGAAGGTCAGTATCTGCAGATCTAAGATCCTAAACAGACCGACATTCTGTGATGTAAATGGTGCTTTAAGGTCATTTAGAGCCTTAAAAACTAGTAGCAGAGCTTTAAAATCTGTCCTGAATGATACAGGCAGCCAGTGCAGCTCTTTAAAAAAAACAGGAGTGATCTGATCTCTCTGTTCTGTTTTTGTACAAGTTGTAAAGGAAGGATTGTTTTCTTAGGAAGTCCAGTAAGAAGATCATTACAGTGATCAACTCTGCTTCTACCAAATGCATGAACAGGTTTCTCTGCGTCGCTCTGACAGAGAAAAGGCTGAACTTTATTGATATTTCTCAGATGACAGAAAGCTACTTTAGTGACTGTGTTTACATGCAGATAAAACAGAGCTCAGAGTCTAAGATCACACCCAGGTTTAGTACTTCAGGTTTGGTATATGAAGCTAAAGCACAAAGTTTCTCATGAAGCAGCTTTCTCTGAGTTATTGTACCAACGTGCAAAGTATTTCAGTGTTTTTCCTGATTTAATTGTAGAAAATTTTGCCACATTTACTGAGAAACATCTGACACACGGCTGGTCAGTCTGTCTACAGAGTCTTGATCATCAGAAGGAATGGAAATGTATAACTGGGTGTCGTCAGCATAGCTATGAAAATTTATGTTATGTTTCCTAATGACATCACCTAGAGCATGTACACAGAGAAAAGCAAAGGCCCTAAAACTGAAGCCTGAGGGACTCCACAAGAATATCAACAATGTGCTGTGTTATTTTTCTGTTATCCATATGGATGCAGGAACTAGATAGGATGGGTTCTAAACATCATGCCCCACTAAACCTACTATGCTGTACACAAAAGGAGGAGGGTGGGTTCTGTTTTTGAGACTTGGTTCCTCTCAATGTTTCTTCCTCTTGCTCTGAGGGATTTGCTCTTTTCACTGTCGACACTCTATAGGGCTCAGATTTTCGTTAGAGCTGCTGTTGGACACCACCTGCTGAAAAAGCTCTGTATAAATAAATTGGTTAAAGCAGTACATGGCAAAAAATCAAAAATAAACCTCCTATGTGCCCCTGATATCAAAACAGTGTAGATTAACATGTATGTTGTGGGAGATAAATCAGAAGACAGGTTTCCTAATTGGGCAGATTTTAGGTGATTTGCTGTAAATGCGGTTCTTCTAGACAGATCTACCCTCATTTATCAGCCCAGATCTTTCTTATCCTCTTTTTGGGTTGCGTGAAAACGCTGCACCAACCCCAACCTGGCCTGCCCCTCTGTGGTTTTCCAGATGTCTCACTCATGATAAGGTTCTGCCTCGAAGTGGAACTTTCTCAGACAAAATGCTGACAGTGAGATCAGATACCAGATAAAGACGCAGCTACATCTTTCTGCAGAACTGGTTTAAAATCAGAGCTGAAACACATTTGGGGCTTTAACTGACTCTGGAATAAATAGCTTTTGCTTTGATTGACTCTGTACCGCAATTATGTTTACTTTATTAACACAAATGACTGAACATTCTATTTTGTCATAATTAAAACAATCATAACTCTACCAAACTTGACCAGATGTGTCAGTAGTGACTGTTTCAGTGATAATTTTGGCTCATTTTGAGCTCAAAAACTCAGCAAACACAGCTTTGAACAGCTGTTCACACAGAAAATCATCATATTTTATATTAAAACACCTAAAAAGTGCTGAACTGCAGAAAATATGATGATTCTTAATGTTCCACACTGATTTTCAGACTTTGGGACTCATTTACTTCAAAACAGTGGGATCTAACTGCTCACAGGGATGCAGCCTCACTTCCTGCTCTAAAATGCAGGGGCGTGGCTAAAATAAGGCTCTGCCCACAGACTAAACTCTGTTTTGGTAGTGATGTAAAAATGGGGGACAGTATTTTTTATTTAAAATTTAAACTCATGATAATCTATATATTCAAATTCACTTCGAAAGAAATCTTTGTTTTTTTTTTTATTCAAAAAATCCAAAAAAGTTAAGTATAATTTTCACAATTGTATATTTAGAGGTCAGTGTTTGGGAAAGACACCTTACAAAAGAAAGTCCACCTTGGATGATGTACATATTTAGCTTATTACTATCTCTACTATAATTTAAAAAATCATTAAAGCAGAAATTAGCATGCTGTGCATTTTGCCCTAACACAACTCTACTGAATAAAAGACAGTGACTGCGTTTACCTGCACTTAATAATCCAATAACTGCAGAAAATCAGATTTTATCAGTAATCCAATCAACGCGTTTACATGCAGTCGTGTAATCAGATAATGGGGAAACTCCAGGTCTACTTGAATCAGACTGTAATCAGATTTCTGCTGTGCTTCCAGCCAATAAACTCACAGAAGAAGACGCAACGTGAACCTAACAAAGCTCAAACTTCATGCTGCAGGTTATTTCTAAAACATTTTACCCAAAAACATGAACATACATCCTCCAGAAGATGAAGAATATTTCAATCCTTTATTTCATGTTTGGTTTTAGCGTCACTCCAAAAGTGTTTTGTTGCGTCTCGTGGCAACGCTGCTGGTACCGCTGTCTGTTTTCGCTCATGCTCAGACTAAAAAAAACGAAAGAAATCAGAGTAAGAGTTTACAGCACTGAGAAATCTGATTACTGAGCTAAAATCCAGGCTCTTTATTGGAATCTTAATCAGATTTCTAGATCAGAGTGTGTTGTTTACATGACCATTTGAATAATTGGATATCTGCAGAAATCCGATTATCGGATTATTGAGTTCATGTAAACCCATTCAGTGTTGTGGATGACAGGTAGTGTGAGGGAATAAAAAGGAAAGAAGAGCTGCAGCACTTTGCTGCCACATCTGACTCTCCCAAAGACAAAACAACTCAGAGTTCCCTCAGTGACGAGTAGGAACACAGATTAATACTCGCATATTGATCCTTATGAACACTTACATTACATTAAACTGAAATTCAGAACAGTCATTTTTATACTGCTTATCTGCACTTATGTCATTAAAAAATTCTATAATTGTTTACATTTCGATGATTTTCATTTGGTAGAATTTTATTTCTTTCCAAATAGTTTGTGTGAACACTGACAAAAAAAGTAAATTTGCATTTTATTTCTGCAAAACCAGAATTTAATTCATAACAATTAGGATTAAATTATCTAATCCAATAATGACAATAATGTCTGATGTGCTGAGGCTAATTTGAACTCTGATTGATCAAACTCATGTGAAGAGTTATGAATGGTGAAGGTTATTAGTGACTGAGTTTGATCAATCAGAGTTCAAATTAACTTTAGTCAGTTACATCCAGGATTAGAGCAAGAGCTTTTCGTAAGGGGGGCCAGGTTAGACCCAGAGATTTCACTGGGGGGCGCACTGCTAGAAAAACTAAATAAATTAGCATTGCTGCAACAAAGTGATGTAAAAAGTGATGCACAGTTCTTTCTCTGTATATAATCTGTCCATCATTTTCACAGGAATACAATATTTCAACAACACAACTTCTGTCCAAAGTAAACTGAAAGAGGAAACTGTGTCACGTATTTTATTCATTCATGAGAAAGTTTTGTACTTGAATCAAGTAAATTAAATGCATCTCTTGACTTTTAAATGCATAACATAAAAGAGGCTCTCAAACAATTTTTTTTTAAAAATCTGCATAATTGACTGGTTAAGATACAAACAGAGCAGTTCAGAGCGGTTTGGTGTGAAACGCTCTATTCTAGATAAACTTACCGAGTCAGAACTGTTCACAGTGGTGGTGATAGGAACCAGACGTCCACCTCTAAAAGCTCCCTCACAGAAAGTTCCTACATGAAATGGTTGTGAATTCACTGCCTGATGACTGAGACACTGTTTTATGATAGATCAGAGATCTTAAACTCCCTATAATCAAAATGTTTGATGTAAACAGGCCATAGAAGTCATTCATGTTAGCCCTTGTTATACATGAGTCTAAAGATTAGAAAGCTACACTGTAGCTTTATTATTGCTTTATTACACACTTATTACACAGAGGGAATCTGTCCTATAACACATGCTTATATTCACCTAAAAAACTACACAGATAACATGACAAACACAGAGCAGCACAACTGAAGGACCGAACGCACACTCACCCTCCACAAATCAGCCAATCACAGCAGGATATGCTAATTATGAAAAGCAGCATCATCAGACTCTTATAACTTCCTGGTAACCACCCGACATCAGACTTTCACCGTAACGGGTAGCCGTTCACACCAGAGCAGGTAGGACCACTTTTCACTGGTGACTGTTTAATTACTGACTGTCTCACTTTCCATAACTGGGGTGACCAGAAGGACGACTGTCCTTCATTCTGGGGTGGAACTGACCCCCCTAAGGCTACGCCTGTGGTTACAGCTAACTTCACGGTCAGTAGAGTCGAATGAGAGTCTGGACAGTTTTAACGTCATTATCTTCTTTTCTATGAAGGTGTGAAAGGCTGTGGCTGTGTGTGGGAGAACTGTCTTCCTCTCTGAAGTTGCAAAACTATATCAGCACATTTCATCTCCGCTTTGAAGATGCTAATCTCAGGATTTTCACTTTTTAACTCGCTTTCTATTTTTACAGACTTTGAAAATAAAAAGCAACAAATTAAACAGAACTCAAAAGACTCAGTGCACAGTAAAGAGTACAGAGCAGTAAATAAAGCTGGAGGATCCCGTAGTAAAAACACAAAGATGTTGCTTTATTTTTCTTTAAAAGATCTGAGAATCTTACACTTTAACAACATTCAAGATCCAAGAGATTCTAAAATGCACAGAGAAACTGACAGTTACTCTCACAATGAAATTCTTATTCAATACTTAATACTGCTTATGAAATAATAAGCACTAAGTTGATATTAATTTGGGGACATAACATTTTTCAGATCTTCTATTTTTTTATAAATGATAATAATTTGAAATGGATATATTTTTGACAAAGGTCTCAGCTAAAATAACATGTAAGGGAACAGACTTTTTATTAAAGCAGTTTTAATTAAAACTACATTTATTCAATTCATAACTTGGTTTGTTGATTTTTTATTTTTAATGCAAGAAGACTTTCAGTGTTCAGGACATGTTTTTATATATATATATGCATTTGTAGCTGTGATAAATACAAGTAGGCATAAAAACAGAACACATTCATATACATATTCATGTATGTATATCGTTGCTGTCCAGTGAAAAACATCTCTATTTTTTTATTTTATTTTCTTAGATCATTTGAGCTCAGCAGCTCTTTTACATCATGTGAAAATTTCATGATGGACAGAAATGCTCCAAAATGAAAACATATTTACATCTTACATTAAAGGTTTTGCCCTCTCCTGTAAAGCCACTATGTTGGACACTGACGATTTGTATCATACACACATTGTTCCTATGAAGTATAATAATGTAAGCGCTATCATATAGAGAGGGAGACATTGAGAGTGAGACGTTGATATAGAGAGTGAGACAGTGAAAGATTGAGATGTACGCAGGTGTGCACTAGTGTAATTGTGCCAGTGTATGCAGGTGTCTACTAGTGTAATTGTGCCAATGCATGCAGGTGTTCACTAGTGTAATTGTGCCAGTGTATGCAGGTGTGCACTATTGTAATTGTGCCAATGTATGCAGGCGTGCACTATTGTAATTGTGCCAGTGTATGCAGGTGTGCACTAGTTTAATTGTGCCAATGCATGCAGGTGTGTACTAGTGTAATTGTGCCAGTGTATGCAGGTGTGCACTAGTGTAATTGTGCCAGTGTATGCAGGTGTGCACTAGTTTAATTGTGCCAATGCATGCAGGTGTGCACTAGTGTAATTGTGCCAATGCATGCAGGTGTGCACTAGTGTAATTGTGCCAGTGTATGCAGGTGTGCACTAGTGTAATTGTGGCAATGCATGCAGGTGTGCACTATTGTAATTGTGCCAATGTATGCAGGTGTGCACTATTGTAATTGTGCCAATGCATGCAGGTGTGCACTAGTGTAACTGTGCCAGTGTATTCAGGTGTGCACTAGTTTAATTGTGCCAATGCATGCAGGTGTGTACTAGTGTAATTGTGCCAATGTATGCAGGTGTGCACTATTGTAATTGTGCCAGTGTATTCAGGTATGCACTAGTGTAATTGTGCCAGTGTATGCAGGTGTGCACTAGTGTAATTGTGCCAATGTATGCAGGTGTGCACTATTGTAATTGTGCCAATGCATGCAGGTGTGCACTATTGTAATTGTGCCAGTGTATGCAGGTGTGCACTAGTTTAATTGTGCCAATGCATGCAGGTGTGTACTAGTGTAATTGTGCCAGTGTATGCAGGTGTGCACTATTGTAATTGTGCCAATGCATGCAGGTGTGTACTAGTGTAATTGTGCCAGTGTATGCAGGTGTGCACTATTGTAATTGTGGCAATGTTTGCAGGTGTGCACTATTGTAATTGTGCCAGTGTATTCAGGTGTGCACTATTGTAATTGTGCCAATGTATGCAGGTGTGCACTATTGTAATTGTGCCAATGCATGCAGGCGTGCACTAGTGTAATTGTGCCAGTGTATGCAGGTGTGCACTAGTGTAATTGTGCCAATGTATGCAGGTGTGCACTAGTGTAATTGTGCCAGTGTATGCAGGTGTGCACTAGTGTAATTGTGCCAATGTATGCAGGTGTGCACTAGTGTTATTGTGCCAATGTATGCAGGTGTGTACTAGTGTAATTGTGCCAATGTATGCAGGTGTGCACTAGTGTAATTGTGCCAGTGTATGCAGGTGTGTACTAGTGTAATTGTGCCAATGAATGCAGGTGTGTACTAGTGTAATTGTGCCAGTGTATGCAGGTGTGTACTAGTGTAATTGTGCCAGTGTATGCTAGTGTAATTGTGCCAGTGCATGCAGGTGTGTACTAGTGTAATTGTGCCAATGTATGCAGGTGTGCACTAGTGTAATTGTGCCAGTGCATGCAGGTGTGCACTATTGTAATTGTGCCAATGTATGCAGGTGTGCACTATTGGAATTGTGCCAGTGTATTCAGGTGTGCACTAGTTTAATTGTGCCAATGCATGCAGGTGTGTACTAGTGTAATTGTGCCAGTGTATGCAGGTGTGCACTATTGTAATTGTGCCAATGCATGCAGGTGTGTACTAGTGTAATTGTGCCAGTGTATGCAGGTGTGCACTATTGTAATTGTGGCAATGCATGCAGGTGTGCACTATTGTAATTGTGCCAGTGTATTCAGGTGAGCACTATTGTAATTATGCCAATGTATGCAGGTGTGCACTATTGTAATTGTGCCAATGCATGCAGGCGTGCACTAGTGTAATTGTGCCAGTGTATGCAGGTGTGCACTATTGTAATTGTGCCAATGTATGCAGGTGTGCACTAGTGTAATTGTGCCAGTGTATGCAGGCGTGCACTCGTGTAATTGTGCCAATGTATGCAGGTGTGTACTAGTGTAATTGTGCCAATGTATGCAGGTGTGCACTAGTGTAATTGTGCCAGTGTATGCAGGTGTGCACTAGTGTAATTGTGCCAGTGTATGCAGGTGTGCACTAGTGTTATTGTGCCAATGTATGCAGGTGTGCACTAGTGTAATTGTGCCAGTGTATGCAGGTGTGCACTAGTGTTATTGTGCCAATGTATGCAGGTGTGTACTAGTGTAATTGTGCCAGTGTATGCAGGTGTGCACTAGTGTAATTGTGCCAATGTATGCAGGTGTGCACTAGTGTAATTGTGCCAGTGTATGCAGGTGTGTACTAGTGTAATTTTGCCAATGAATGCAGGTGTGTACTAGTGTAATTGTGCCAGTGTATGCAGGTGTGCACTAGTGTAATTGTGCCAGTGTATGCAGGTGTGTACTAGTGTAATTGTGCCAGTGTATGCAGGTGTGTGCTAGTGTAATTGTGCCAATGTATGCAGGTGTGCACTAGTGTAATTGTGCCAATGCATGCAAGTGTGCGCCCGTGTAATTGTGCAGTCTATTGCGCAGCAGCTAAACCAGTTTCAAAAGAAACTGATAACCACTAACAGATAAGTAGAAATCATTTGTTGCATCAGCCACTTCACAACAAATTAGCACTGCAACTGCACAAAGCTAACAAAGATAAACATTCTCTGAGGAACTCTGTACTCCAATCTGAACACAGCCAGAAGTAAAATGTGACTAAACATGATAAATTTGCTTTTCATGGTTGCTTTTCTACCCATTTTTCCAAAACCATAAACACATTTAAAGGGCATCTTTGTCTTCAGTGATCTTCCAACTTTCACTCTTTTACTACAAAAATTAAAATGAGTTTCAAAATGTCAAAGCAAATGTTTCCTTTAATGCATTGAATCATCAAAGGAAAGACATAAATGGTCCATAAACATGTCAGTGTGCTTTATTCTATTATGATTAAGTTTATGGTTTTTAATTTGTCTTGTTGATTTCTCAGCTGTCTGATTTGAACTCGGTTATGTTGTCTTCACTGTACAGAGGTTGTGTCTGTGTTGAGTGGATTCGTGCTTTACAGTGAAGGTGCTGCAGTGCTGGCTGTGTTTATATGAACCCAGTGTTCTGGTTGATTGCTGTTGTTCTGTATCACTGTAGATGTGATGACTTGGCCTGATGTGATGTGTTTGGAAATTGTGTCACTTTTTTACAGCTCTGTCCAAAAATGTGTTTCTGCTTAAGCTGCTGGTCAAACACACATTCATTTCTAGACCCATTACACAAAGCTGAGTAAAGGCCAGGCAGATGACTTGATCTACCACTCAATTCCACACAGACCTACAAACAGCCACCTGGATTAGACAGTGCTACACTTTGGGGAAACATTATGACCGCTGTTTATGAAGATGGTAGAACATACAAAATATTTAGTATCAATTAGTATCAATATACATCAGTACACCCACGTGCTATTAAAACCAGCTAACCATTGACAAGGATAAGTCATTTTTTATTATCAGTCATTAGTTTGGAATATAATGAATTATTAATTCTGCATGAAAGAATGTGACTACAAATGTTCAGAAATAAATGAACAGAGTAAAAAATACCACATGCAGAAAAGTCAGAAAACCCTTTAAAAAGTCACATCCACAAAAAAACAAAACAAAAAAAATAGCCTTTATTCTCAAAATATTTTTTGTCTTTCAAGCATTGTTGGGAGTGAGTTTCACACATTGAAGAAATATCAGTGCTGCATTATAACTAACCTATGATTAAGCATAATAAAATTAAACAAAATTTAATAATTATTAAAAAAATAAAATAGTGTTTTCTATTATCATCAGCTGTTATACTTTTTTAAAAACTCCATTAAAATATTGCACATTGTTTTAAAAGGATATACAGTGTTTAGAAACAGAACTTTTTGTAGATGAGCACTGCAGTAAAAACCAACGAATCTTAAAAAAACTGCAAACTTTTGGAGCGTATTATTTAACAAGTGATATAAACAGGAATTCTATGATGGCTGGCAGTTACTTTTCTTTTGATCATTCTTTTTTATCAACAATAAATGAAAACTAACAAGTTGCTCTGTAAGCATTCACCATCACACACCTCTCATTCTGCTGGACCTTAATTCCAGCCCCCTCCTCAAGCTGTCTGAATGGACTAGTGACACCTAGTGGAGGAAACTAGGAACTTCAATAACTAAATATCATTACAACTATGCAACTTTAAGGAATTGTATGTTGTGTAGATGATCTGAAACATGGAGCTCACTTTCACTCCCTCAGAATCCGAGTGAAGAATCTTCTCTGAGAGTTATGAAGGTGAAGCTGAGCAGCAGGTTTAGTGATCGTGTTGTTTCTAATGATTTCATTCATATGAAAGTTAAAGAAGCCTTGTGAGAAGAAGCCGTAGAGCAGCAGGATGGAGTCTGAGAGTGTGAAGACGGAGGACGTGTACCAGACGCTCCACCATCCTCCTTCAGTGAAGAACCCAAACCCAACACACGGTGAGAACAAACAGAACCTTCAACACAGCAGAGAATTAAAATCAGTCTCACTGTCACTGATGAGCTGCTGAGTTCTGTCCTGTTAAACTGAGATGTTTTCTTTCATATTGTCCACCGTCTCTAACAGGATCACCGCAGAGCATCAGGCTAATCATGATACTGCTGATCTTCAACACTCTGTTACTGATCATTATACTGATACTGACTGGAACCTTCAGTAAGTCTTTTGTAAATATGTTTTAATCAATGTTGTGTTCATGTTTATCAGTGATCACATTAAACTGAATGAAGAGGAGGCAAATAATTAGACAAACAAATTGTATAGCAGCAGGTAAGAAGCTCACCTTACCAAGCTAGCTAAGGCTCTATAATATTCTTTAATATTCATATGATCCACACAGTCACTCTGACAGACTGTAATACACTACAGGAAGTGTAGGGGGCGATATGGCTTCTACTGTTTCATTTAAAAAGCCTCTATAATGTTCATATGATCCACACAGTCACTCTGACAGACTGTAATACACTACAGGAAGTGTAGAGGGCGATATGGCTTCTACTGTTTCATTTAAAAAGCTCTATAATGTTCATATGATCCACACAGTCACTCTGACAGACTGTAATGCACTACAGGAAGTGTAGGGGGCGATATGGCTTCTACTGTTTCATTTAAAAAGCTCTATAATGTTCATATGATCCACACAGTCACTCTGACAGACTGTAATACACTACAGGAAGTGTAGGGGGCGATATGACTTCTACTGTTTCATTTAAAAAGCTCTATAATGTTCATATGATCCACACAGTCACTCTGACAGACTGTAATACACTACAGGAAGTGTAGGGGGCGATATGGCTTCTACTGTTTCATTTAAAAAGCCTCTATAATGTTCATATGATCCACACAGTCATTCTGACAGACTGTAATACACTACAGGAAGTGTAGGGGGCAATATGGCTTCTACTGTTTCATTTAAAAAGCTCTATAATGTTCATATGATCCACACAGTCACTCTGACAGACTGTAATACACTACAGGAAGTGTAGGGGGCGATATGACTTCTACTGTTTCATTTAAAAAGCTCTATAATGTTCATATGATCCACACAGTCACTCTGACAGACTGTAATACACTACAGGAAGTGTAGGGGGCGATATGGCTTCTACTGTTTCATTTAAAAAGCCTCTATAATGTTCATATGATCCACACAGTCATTCTGACAGACTGTAATACACTACAGGAAGTGTAGGGGGCAATATGGCTTCTACTGTTTCATTTAAAAAGCTCTATAATGTTCATATGATCCACACAGTCACTCTGACAGACTGTAATACACTACAGGAAGTGTAGGGGGTGATATGGCTTCTACTGTTTCATTTAAAAAGCTCTATAATGTTCATATGATCCACACAGTCACTCTGACAGACTGTAATGATATATGGCTCCTATTTTTCTGTTATAGAGATCATTATTAGGTGCAGCTCTATAATTCATATTGGATTATGAATGTCTTATGATAACTGAATAATAAGTCTGTAGCATTTATTGACCTTGTCGGTTCTGAATCAGATGACTTGTTGCATCAATTTTATTTTCATCTCTTGTCCAAGAATCTCAGAACAGGATGTTGACTGAGGAGTCGAACTCGTCTTCTGTTCTCCTGTCCCCTACGCTACAGAGCGCAGGTGAGGAAACAGTCACCAATTATTATGATGAGGATAATGATGATGATTATTAATATTATTATTATAATTAAACATACAGTGGGGTCCAAAAGTCTGAGAGCACTAGTGAATGTTTTGCATTCCTTTGTCATTTAATGTAATAAGTTTCTTTTTCAGAATTTCTTAGTATTTGGTGGACTGCCCCTCTCTTGCTTTATTGACACTTTAGCTGCCATAAACTCCATGTTTGTGTAAAAGCCCCTGATGATCAGACCAGATCCACCCGAGAGTCGTCTGAACATGAGCTTCACAAGGGATCAGAATAAAAATGATCATTTTACTCATCAGGCCTTTCTTTCTCTTAAATTTCTCTGTTGTTTATTTCCAGGTTTATATGACAAATATCGCAGTTTTTAGTGGGGTCTCAGATTTCTGTACCACATTCATAGTGTACTGTACAGAGCTGTCAATTAAACTGAATAAACAAAGAACTTTTAAAATACAATAATAGTAATGATTTTGTGTGCAGAGCAATCCAGTACAAAAGTGGATGCACTTATTTTACACGCATATTGTATTATCCTACTGACTCCGCCCTCAAAATAAACAACAAAAAGCCCAGCTAGTACAGAAGCATCTCACACACTGCAATACTACTGTATTTAAATGATATTTTAGGAAAACAATGTTCACCCCACACAAGCACATTAATCTACCACCTAAATAAAACGAAGATTCTTTCCAGTGGTTGTAATTTTAACACTGTAAAGTTTGGTCAGTAGGGGGAGCTGTGCACTCACTGGCCCATGTGAAACTCCACCTACGAGCACAACCATTGGCCCACGAGCCACTGAATGCTGTCGTTTTATTGGCTGCCTAACAAAACATCTCCTTAAATTAGGCTTGCTTCATGTAAATGATATGTAAATGAGGTGCTGGCAGGCTGGCACTTGATTTCACGCACTGAAGCCGATGCATCATTTCTCGTTTCCATGTCATATGAATGTGTCGTAAATCAGAGGCAGAGCAGTTCATGAGTCATAAGGGTTAGTCTGAGAGCCTCATGGAAATACAAGGGCATCACTGGTCCTGTGATGGAGGGAAGGTAAATGTATGATTATATGCGTTTTAAGGATTTAGATTGTCGGCTTTAGTCTTGTTAAATACGTCCAATGTTCGCTAAGCTGGATAGCCAACAGTGATTATGCTTATCAGCAGTGTCTGTATCACTCTAAACCCCACCAAGGTGTTGTGCCCACACTGTAGATTTAATCCATCCCCAGAATCCAATGAGGTAACAATAGCAAAGAAAGACTCTGTTGGGTAACCAGATCTGCTAGTTAGCTAACTTATATTCAGAGACTTTAGTACATTCTAAGGTCATTATTTATTTTTCCAGTGAAAATGACCATTAAATTATTCATTTCTCAGCTGTGTGAGTCAGTGAGTCACTCTTCCCCTTTATTCCAGCTTCCATTTTTTTCAGGAGACTCACTTTCAGCTCCTCAAAGAATCTGCAGACACACCTCCAAAGTTCAGTCTTAGAAGCTGGTTGATGATTTTCTGAAGTAATCAAACACATTCAGTGGTGTTGAGGTCTGGACTCTGGGGTGGTCAGTCCATTGCTCAGCTTCTTTGTTTGATGTGTCCGTCTCCTTTTCTCAGTGAGGTTCTTCTTGACAGCTACACATCCTTTCAGACCCACAGCGCTGAGTCGTCTTCTCACAGTGGAAGGATGGACAGAAACACCTGTGGATGTTTTCAGATCTGAAGCAGCTTGATTTTCTCCTCTCTCTCAAAGATGAAAGCTTTAAGTGCTGTTAACCTGAAGGGGGCAGGTTTAGGGTCGACCAGCTCTTCCACGTGGTTGTTAGGAGGCACGTTTTCTCTGCAGACTTCACTCACTTCTGTACCTTGGTAGTGCAGGTTTAATCAGTGTTTTATCCAGATCCTACACATCTCCTGCCTTTTGTTTGTTTTCACTCACCCCTCCTGTTGTGGCATACTGTGATGTTCTGAAAGCTTATCATTAGATGTGCCTGTGCCCAATTATAGTTGGTAAACTATTGGGTTGACTCTGAATCCCTTCCTCTCTCTCTCTCTCTCTCTCTCTCTCTCTCTCTCTCTCTCTCTCATTCATGAAACAGTGACTAGCTGTAAGCCTGGATGGACGCAGCATCTCTCCAGATGTTACTTGTTCTCCAATGACTCTCTGAACTGGCACCAGGCGAGAGAATACTGCAGGACCCAGAATGCCTCACTACTCAAAGTGGAAACTGAAGCTGAATGGGTGAGGAACATGCACAAATTTCTTTGAACAAGGTGAACAAGGTGAGGGAGATGTGGAGTGTAAGGAGGGCCATCATCACTGGCTATAAACTGACTGGAAACCAGTCGGTGGAGAGTGCAGCTCCATCCACCTCTATGGGGCGCTACACTACCTGTTCTCTAAAATTTCTTCTGCTTCAACCTTCATACTTTGGCAGACTAAAAGTGTCTTTGTCTCTCTGTGAGACCCATCTTCTGTTAAGCTTCATTTCTAGGACAGATACTCTGACATTCTCCTGTGGAATTTCTCGATACAATCCAGAATTCACAGCCTCATTAAATGATAGCAAGTTGTTCTGGTCCAGTGGCAGCAAAACAGCCCCAAACCGTGATACTGCCACCACCATGTTTTGCAGTCAGCATGAGGTTCATCAGCTGAAATTCAGCGTTTGTTTTTTATTAAATGTAATGTTTCACATTTAAGCTAAAAACGTATGTTTTGCTTTATCCATCTACATAACATTCTTTCAGTGGTCTTCTGGCTCATCCAGGAAACTTTAAACATCAGTGTTATTCTTGGAGATTAATTACATATTATTACTCAGTGTTCGCTACACTTCCTGTTCTCTCTTTGAGACAGCAGAAAAGGCCTTACCTCAGGAAGATTTCCTGCTAGCCCCCTATAATCATGATCCCCTGCAGCTCAGATCCGCATACTGTGCTATTCTATTGGCATATATTTTTTCCAGCATTAATTGCTTTAATGACAGAAACTTAAGCAATAACATTTTTTTTGGTAATAAATTATTTCACCTCTCGTTTTGAAAATTCATGAGCTCCTGCTGGTGTGGGTTTGTGGCTGTTTATTCTCTTAATGTTACATACTCAAAAGTGACTGGCTCTCTAATAGCTCCCCCTTGAGGAGAAGCTCCAGACTGCAAAACATGCAGAGTGAGTGAGTTCCAGATCCACATCCACATGCTTAACTTAACATCTAAAAAAGCTGTAGACACTGTTATGTTTTCATAATTTTACAACCTTTGGGACACTTAAGCTATAAAGAAAATGCTGAGGATATTTCCTCAGTATGTTGCACTATGGGAAATGTTCAGCAGAATGGCTCAGTTATATCTTCTATTTTAACAGTAAAAGGGAAAAAAATTATACATGCATAATTATTTAATTTTATTATTATTTCCCAACATGGTGAATATCAGCTTTGATCATCAGCATCGTAATCAGGTTACTTGTCATTCATTGGTGACATCTGATTACATCACTTTATGGCCCAGGACTGACTCTGGATTTGCTACAGGCCGTCACAGAGACGAGGATGGTAACAAAATTGGAGGACAATTTTGAGCCATCCACTCAACCAGTGGCTCATTCAGCCAATTAACCATTTCATTTTAATTGTTTGTTCAGTTTAGAGGTTGGAACTGGAACACAAGAACAGAAATGTTCACATAAGTACCTTTTATATACCCTTTCATTATACTGCTCTGGCATAATGACAGAGTTAAACATTTTAATTTAATTCAATTCCTGTGTCAGAACCTCAATTCTCTCTCTCTCTCTCTCTCTCTCTCTCTCTCTCTCTCTCTCTCCAGGCATTTATAACGGCTAACTCGAATGAATACTGGATTGGTCTCACAGATGAAATCACAGGACGGTGGAGATGGACTGATGGAACACGTTATGTAATGGATAGAAAGTGAGTTTTTTTTTTTCTTCTTTCAGATTTTGTTAATGCTGAGGTAATCCACCCTCGTCAGACGGGGATATTTTTCATTCTAAATCCTTTTAAAAACCCAAACAAGGTTTCAAAGCAAGAAGCCCAACTGCATATGTGGTCTAGAAAGTGGTGCTAGAAAGTTTGTGAATGCTCTACAATTCTCTGAATTTCTACATAAATCTGACACTAAATGTCTTCGTTGAAAAGGAATTTGAAAAGTATGAAAACTCTGTGATGTTGGTGGATTTTGTTGCACATCTTTAGGTCCTGCCATGGCATTTCTGTTGGATTAAGGTCTGAACTTTGACTCAATTCCAAATTGCCAAACTTCTTCTGCCTCAACCTTCATACTTAGGAGGCTAAAAGTATCTTTGTCACCTTCTGTTAAGCTTCATTTCTAGAGGGGAGACTCTGACATTCTCCTGTAGAATTTCCTGAGACACTCCAGAATTCATAGCCCCATTAAATGATGGCATGTTTTCCTGGTCCAGTGGCAGCAAAACAGCCCCAAACCGTGATACTGCCACCACCATGTTTCAGGGTCAGGATGAGATTCTTATGCAGGAACGCATTTTTAATTTTTCTCAAATGTAAAGTTTCACATTTAAGCTTAAAGTTTCTGTTTCTGCATCATCCATCTACATTAAATTCTTTCAGTGGTCTTCTGGCTCATCTAAGTGATCTTCAGAAAACTTTAAACAACAAAGTTCTTCTTGGAGAGTAGTGGCTTCTTCCTTGCTATCGTTTCACACACAGTATTATTGCTCAGTGTAGCTTGATGTCGGACTCATGAACACTGACGTTAGACAGTGGAAGAGAGTTCTGCAGATGCTCAGGTGTTACCCTGGGGTTCTTTGTGATCTCCTAGAATATTGTATGTCTTTATCTTGCGGTGATTTTTGTTGGATGACCACTCCAGGGAAAAATGTCAGGTGTTGAATTTTCTCTATTTGTACAATATCTGCCCGACAGTGGATTAGTGAAGTCCAAAAAGAAACGGATGTTTAACTTCAAGCCTGATAAACATCGACAACTGTTTTTTTCTTAGATACTTAAAAGTCTCCCTAAACTGAGACTTGTGACTCACGCTTGACATTAGACAGAGTTTCACTTTCTTTTACCAACAAAAACATTCACTATTGGATCACTTTGTTCACTTAATGACTGAAAACTATATACTTGTTTTGTGTTATTTGTTTTATCAGGTTCTCTTGTATTGTTATGACCTGAAGGTCTATTTCTATGACTTTTAAGATGAAGATCTGATCCCATTTCAAGTCAAATTTTAATTCTTAAAAGTCTTTCTAGCACCACTGTACAACCTATAATGATGAACTGAATTTTGTAAGACCCAAAATAAATTAAATTTACATCTACATTACTAAACTTTGGCTTAGTATAAAAAAGTCATGACATTTCTGTTTATTTTGTGTTTGGATCTTATGTACAGTTACTAGTGAAATGGTACAGAAAAAACTGTGTGACCATTGCAGGAAGTGGGGACATGGACAGCCTGATAACTGGAGCGGTGATGGACCGGAGGGGGAACACTGTGCACATCTAAGATACAGGAAGTTGAATGACTTGCACTGCAAAATTAGAATGAACTACATCTGCAAGCAGTAGAAACTAGTGAGATGTTGGGTGTTCAACATGTTTGTGAACAAGTCTGTGCTTTTATTATGCAACTTTCTGATTTTGATTTATTCTACTTTTTAAAACCAGCTGAGTCCTTCACTTGGCTTTGAACACTGTAATGTGCTGTAGTGCAGTGAAGAAGAAGTAAAGTGAAGAAACTGCAGTGAAGTATGTTTTACAGCCCTGAAGACCCCAGTGTTACCATATAGCCACAAGAGTTACTGTGATCTTATGTACAAAACAATCACTGAGCCCACTCTCCAAAAATACTTTCAATTAGTAAAACAATCACAGTGTAATTAGCATGTTTATTTGTATTGTTATGTCTCCAACAAGTCGATGCTCTCAATGCATGTCTTATAACTATATATTGCTTTGTATTGCTATATAACATTGGAATAAATAGAAATAAACACAAATACAGAAAAAATAATGTTTTGTTTGCTAATAAAATTATTTATTATGAAGTTAAAGTAGTAGTTGTAGCTGTAGGTTAATGCTCAATATGAGGGTATAAAATCGTTTGCCTTCCTGTCACTGATGGAGTTCTGAGTTGTCTTCTGTTCTTCCTAGAGAAACAAAAGGTGGCAGCAAAGTGTCGTCTGCTGAAAGTGAAACCATCCTGTTAAATGCAGCTGGCCACTTTATTAGAAACAACTACCTTGTGCTTCCACTCACTGGCCACTTTAGTGGAAACACCCACCTTGTACTCCCACTGACTGGCCCCTTTATTAGAAACAACTACTTTGTACTACCACTAACTGGCCACTTTAGTGGAAACACCCACCTTGTATGTCTACTAACTGGCCACTTCATTAGAAACACCTACCTTGTGCCTCCTTTCACTGGCCCCTTTATTAGAAACAACTACTTTGCACTACCACTAACTGGCCACTATACTGGAAACACCCAACTCGTACGTCCACTAACTGGCCACTTTATTAGAAACACCTACCTTGTGTTTCCACTCACTGGCCACTTTATTAGAAAAACCTACCTTGTGCCTCCACTCACTGGCCACTTTATTAGAAACAACTACTTTGCACTACCACTAACTGGCTACTTTAGTGGAAACACACTAAACTCATACGTCCACTAACTGGCCACTTTATTAGAAACATCTACCTTGTGCTTCCACTCACTGGCCACTTTATTAGAAACACCTACCTTGTGTTTCCACTCACTGGCCACTTTATTAGAAACATCTACCTTGTGTTTCCACTCACTGGCCACTTTATGAGACCTACAGTGACCCCTTATCACCACCAGAGGGCAACACAGATGTGGTGATTCCTGTTCTATTACAGTTGATCATAGTTTGTCTGTTTTGTCTGTTCTTGTATTAAAGTTTCTCAGTCTTGTTGAGGTGGGAGGTATCACAGCGTATGGACTGATACAGTGATGAAACACAGTCCACACGGCCAGAAGATGATGGATTGGATCCAAGAGAGAAAAGACAGGTTCTCCCAGACTTTCCCATCACATAATGAGGAATCCACCCCTCTGTGTTGAAAGGTACTCAGAGGGAGGTCATTTAAAACAGCTGAATTTAGGCAGTGGCCAATCCCATGATGCATTTTGATTTGCTGTCACAACTCTATAGTGAAGAGCCATGCTCAGAGCTGATGTTTATCCTCAGAGCTCACTGCACAAGATCCATATTTTGAGTCAGATTTAGATGTGGTCAATGACACTGGAGCAAATTAAAAGCTGAATCGCAGAATTAAAGCTGTTTTTCACTCGTGTTAGTCTAAACATACTGTACAGCCTTTTTCAGTTCCAGCTGACTCACCGTTTCGGATCGGCTCCAGTTTGGAGAATTTAGATTGTGTTCTGGTTTCTGTACAGTAAAAGCTCTGCTTGGAGCTCTCTGTGTACTCATATACAGAAAATGGAAAATGATACACACACTGAAACTGTAAGCCTGTATATTAAACTTCTCAGGTCGACAATGTTGTACGCGATATCAAAGGACGGCATTCATAAAAGAATAAACATCTTGGGAACTACATGCCATCCATTTCTTCATAGTAAAGAGTTATTTTTGTTTTTAGCATGACTGTTAGCCATTCACTAACGCCTTGGGTCGAGTCTGTCACGCAGTCAGAGGCTGTGTTCCTGACTCATCAACCAATCAGAGGCTGTGCTCCTGACTTGTTGACCAATCAGAGGCTGTGCTCCTGACTTGTCGAACAATAAGAAGCTATGTTTCTGACTCGTCGGCTAATCAGAGGCTGTGTTCCTGACTCATCAACCAGTCAGAGGCTGTGTCACTGACTCATCGACCAATCAGAGGCTGTCTTTCTGACTCATCGAATAATCAGAGGCTGTGTTTGTGACACATCAGCAAATTAAAAGTAGCCAGTGTGCAGGGCATCAAAAAAGCATTATTATTATTATTATTATTATTATTATTATTATTATTATTATTTATAGAGTGTACGGTCTGGTATGAAATGGTATCTTCTGCATATACATGTACCTCACAGTTTGTTACAGTGGGGAAAAAATCATAATAAATAGAAAATAAAAGTGGACCTAAAATTGACCCTTGTGGGACACCTTTGGTTGCTGGTAGACAGATCTGTAGCTCCCCAGGGCTGCATGCTGTCATCTGTCAGAGGGGTCATTCTAAAACCTTTTAATAGCCTTATAGTCAAAGCCAACATAACATGATCAACAGCTGTATCAAAAGCTGTTGATAAACTGATAAGGAAGGTGACACATTTCACCCACTGTATAGAGTTCATAAGATAATTTTAATCCAGGGTAGTGAGATTAATAGAGCTGTTCTTTTCCCCTAAGCCAGACTGTTAACCAGCAAGACTAAAAACAAGTAAATTATCAACAAAATGTTCAACAAAGAGATGTGAAAAGAGTTGTGAAACACTGGGTGTGTGCACACATCCACCGATTCCTGAATGAATGTACTGAGATATTAAAAAGTGCCTTTGGATGGAGTGTGGAGGACAGTACTGTTAGAACCAGGCATCATCACGTATATGAAATAAATGGCTGGAAATGATTGGAATACATAATGAGGTTCTGCTGAAAGATCTGAAGTTATATTTACCGCTCATTTTTAGCCCATGTTAAACAAAATAAGCACCACCTCAGCTCTCTCAGATATGGATGCCTGTTGGATGGTACGTCACTGTAGTTCTCTCAAAAATGTCCTCCTACTATTTTCGTGGTTGTTCTATTTAGCAGAACCGAAGCATATTTTGTCCTCATGAATAGAACCCAAAACCATTAATCAACTGGAATCATAAACCTGCCCATTCAGAGAGGAAGCTTTGTTTATTGGAAGTTAAAAATGATTTGTTGGTTGATCAGAGAGCTCAGAGACAGAAGGTCATGTAGAGGTTCTATCAAGTAAATGACAAGCAGATGAAAAATGTTAATTAAGTCTAAAGCACTTGTTAAGAAAATGTGACGTGGCAGTGCAGCTTACAGCTAACTGAGTCACTGACCGACTGACTGACACACACTGATTGTGTTTACATGCACTTAATGCAATACTGCAGAAATGATCATGTTTACATGCATTCAGGGTAATCTGATAATAGAGAAACGAAGTTCAAGTTTCTGAACTTCGTTTCAAGGCTTTTTTTAAAAAAAACGTTGCGTCACTTTACCTGAAAATATGAACAGACATCATCTAGCAGATGAAGAGTATTAAATCCTGTATTTTGTCATGCTTGAATTTAGTCACACAGCGACGCTGCTCACTTATTTCCGGTCCCGCCGTCTGTTTTCACACATGCGCAGTCTGAGAAATCCGAAAGAAATCAGAGTAAGAGACTGAGAAATCTGATTACTGAGCTAAAATCCAGCCTCTTTATCAGATTTCTTAATCGGATTTCTAGACCTTACTCCGATCTAAGAAATCTGAGTGTGCTGTTTACACGACCATTTGAATAATCAGATAACTGCAGAAATCTGGTTATTATTGGATTATTGAGTGCATGTAAACACACTCACATGCACAAGCATCGCCCAAAATGAACCATGGGTAATGCAAGCTAATTAAATAAAGTGACATCATCATCCTGCAATACAGAGCTAAATTATAATAAATGAAAGAACACAACACAACACTTTCACTGGAACCTGCCAGGGGTCTTACTAAAGCAACAGCAGCTCTTCCTAAACTAAGTGCTCATGTGAGCTGCGTCTGACCTCAGCTGGACATTCTCCCCCTGCAGGATAAACAGTGTTACTTAGCAATTGTTCACTCTTTCAGGTGAGGATAAAGTCCGTAAGTGCAACTACATTAACTGCATCTCAGTGTAAGCTGGAATGTCGAACGATCACTGTGTAAAGAAATCCACCAGTGTAAGCTGTGCTAGCTCTGAAGTTATAATGCTAATGTTGTTAGCGTGTATGCTAACAGCAATAGAACGAGTGGGCTTTGCTCTTTTTTAGAGGGAAAATGGTTAAAGTGCCGATCATTAAACAACATTTCATCTAAAATTATATTCTAGATGGTCCAGGTGGTCCAGGAAATCCAGGTGGTCCAATTGGTCCCAACGGTCCAGGTGGTCCTCGTTCTCCAGGTAGTCCAGGTAGTCCATTACGTCCAGGTGATCCTTGTAGTCCAGGTAGTCCATGTGGTCCAGGTGGTCCCGGCGGTCCCGGTGGTCCTTGTAAATTACCCCCCTCTTGTCTGTGGTAATGCTCACACACCCAGCCTTGCTCTTCTCCAGGGATGAAAGGCGTCTCCAAGCGCACCGGATCACCGACCAGTTTACACCTGGAAAAACTGTCATCCTGGAGAAGAAATTACAGTCAGTTAATCAGACCAAGAGAACCCAACTACACCCAGCAGTGTCACTCAGAGACCCCCTTCACTGATTTCACCTCCTTTTCTCAGTGAGGTTCTTCTTGACAGCTACACATCCTTTCAGACCCACAGCGCTGAGTCGTCTTCTCACAGTGGAAGGATGGACAGAAACACCTGTGGATGTTTTCAGATCTGAAGCAGCTTGATTTTCTCCTCTCTCTCAGAGATGAGAGCTTTAAGTGCTGGCAGTTAAGTGGGGGCAGTTTTGGGGTTGACCAGCTCTTCCAGGTGGTTGTTAGGAGGCACGTTTTCTCTGCAGCTTTCAATTTTTCATTTTTAGAAACTCTGCAATTATTTATCTTCCTTAGCAAGTGGATGGTTTCATATCTAATCCCAGAGACGTCTGCTTTAGCCATTTTAGATGCTCATGAGAGAGAAATGTGGGGACCCCTTTAAAATAAGACGACCCATACAAAGGGCTTATGGAAGGTTTTTATTATTAGTTAGGTCATGAACACTTCATTAATATTAATAAGCAGTTGTAGCAAATTAATAAAAAGGGCAAAAGCAAGTTGTTGTATGTGATGAATATGAATGTGATAAAGAAGTAAACATCAAAATCTGAGATTTATAAGTACAAATTAATGTGGTTTCACTATTTGGCAAATAACAGCGAACAGTTGCCCTTTTTATTTATGTGGTAAATGCTTATTAATGCTTTTAAGATTTGATATTAGGCTTAGCGTTGGAGGCTTTTGTGCCTTTTTCTGTTAATATGTTTCCTGCTTTTTATCTTATTCTGAAAATTGGATAACTTGTACTTAATGGAAGCTTTAGCACAGATTAGACTCTACATACCTTCAAATTCTACACCTGAAGTCATCAAAATAGTATCAGTCATACAGATTTTAAATGATGTTGAATCTCACCTCGGCTACCAGCAGTTTCTTCTTCTTAGCCTGAGTTACCAGCCAGTCCTGCAGACATACAGCATTTATACTGGGCTTCAGTGCAGTAATAGTGGTCAGTCATAATAACAGGCCTACTGTATATGTACTGTACTCAGTGGCGAGTCAGGGACTGCAGGGTTAGTGAGGATGTTTTTTTGTTTTTTTTTCCCAGAGTAATGGTACACATGTCTACCTTTTCATAACCTAATGTTTTAAAACAGAACAGTAAACTATAAAGACTGGAGTCTAGACATGGTGAGTTGGGTCAATACAACTAAAAATATATAATTGTAGTGGAATATGGAACAATAATGCTCCCTAACTAAAAGAACTGGTGACGTACTCTAAAGGGTTCTGTTCCAGTGGCAGTTCAGTACCTTGTTTTCTGATAGTGTACCAGCTGCTCCTCATCTGGGTTCTTTGCAGACATTTATCTTACATATACATATATAAGTACAAAAGCTTTTAACTCTAGAAGCTGCGCAACACATTGTTTCCGTGAATGAAACTTCTCTGGGAGGGTTTGTTGTGTTTCTAGTGAATGATGTCGCAAAAAACTGCACTCACTCACCACTGACCACTAACTTAAGCTGTAATTTTGTTGTTCAAATATGTAAATATTACATCTAAACTATATCGAATAGATCAAATATCTGGCGCACAGCTGTGTTGTAGGCAGGCAGGACCAAAGCAAGTGGAAATGTTATTTTTTGCACATTGTACAAGTAAATACAACACACATACAAGTACAATTGTGTTTTAAAGGCTATTCACTCATAAGCACTATGAACACTTTGGTATGTTTTGACTTAAATTCAGAAAGATTTTTATTCTATATCTTTTCATGACCCACCCCACACCAATCAGATGCCGTGCACCCCACCCTGACCCCCCCTACCCCCATTATCTGCCCTGTGTTCTTTGTGAAATATGTATAAATATATTAATTTGGGAATGATTATATTTATCATTATTATTACACAGAATATTCTTTTACCCGGTTCCTCTGTGTTAGAACAGCGAGTCTGATGTTGGATCCTCTTGCTCTGCAGAACTTCGCTGCATCAGTGCATTTCCCCTCTGCCTCCCAGATCAAGTAGAATGACTCATCATAGAGAAGCCACGCCTCCTTTTTCTCATCCAATACCGGCCCTATGAACAAAAACACAGACAATACAGTAATTATTAAAAAAACACTGTTTCTGAAAGAAATCATTCATCAGAGCACTTTTGTGTGAAATGTTGTGAATGATGAAGGAGCAGGTTTACAATTTGATTCATCATATTTTATTGTACCAGCTTGTGTTGCAGCATATCATATTGTACTTGTTTCGGGACGGCAGGGAGGCGGACCCAAGTGCTAAGATGAAAACCTGTGAGAAAGGGTGTTAAATGAGTTCATTGAGGCAATGGAATGTAAATTGGGCACGTTCGAGTTGAGGTGACCCAGAGGCAGGCTCGAACCGCTGATGTACCACTGCGCCACCGGGAAGCACAGCCGACAATGGGAAAAACACCTCAAGGAACAGGAAATAAAGAGGCGGGAAAAGGGCAAACAAAGGGGACGCTGAAAGCAGCTCAAACAAAGGCTGAACTAGAAACGTGAAATAAAAGATAATCAGAAAACAAAAATTACTTCCTCTGTAATTATGAGAGGAAGGCAGACCTTATGCTTCACTTGTTTGCTCTATTTGCTTTATTAGGCTTGGAGCCGTTTGTAGCTCAAGCATTCTTGTGGTTTTTAAGTAGTTTGGGGGTAATTTCTTTCTTTAGTTTTTTTTTCAGCCCTCTTTCCTTTTCTTTTCTTTTGTTTTTCTTTTCTTTTCTATTTGTTTAAATACCCACCTGGGCTAAGTACCGTACCGGTCATCCCTCTACAAAAGTGTGACAAAGTGCTGCTGTTTGCCACAGCCTTAAGTAGGAGTCCACAGGTGTGTCAGGTTGGGCCTAATCAGCCCGAGGGCTTCTGGAAATTGGAGGTCCCTGAATTTCATTTCGCCTGTTAGTGCACTTTGCCATCGTCGCACTCTGCTAGCGGTTGGTGGCCGGTGGCGCACGCTGCGCCCTTACAGTACTATATAAAATCTTTATACTGTGACATGTTAGCTTGTGGCTAGTGTGTTAGAATGGGACACTCTAAATATTCTAAGAAAATGAAGATGAAAAAATTAACATGTTTTAGCCTCTTCATTCTTACTGTATTGATAAACGTATCAAATTGAATCAAGGCAGCACTCTAACATGGCGAATAACGGATGTGGTGAATTTTACACCCCTGAATGTTACTGCAGTGCTGAGAATGATCCACCACCCTAATAGTACCTGCTCTGTGAGGGACCATGGGGGTCCTGACCACTGAAGAAAATCACAGAAAATCTCACTCTAGAGACGACGGCAGAGGAGAGTGGGCACATTTACAGCAGATGTAGAAACGGTTAAGGTTTCATTTCACCTGTTAGTGTCTCTGTAAGTAACTTACTGAAGAGCCCGATCAGTATCAGTATAATGACCAGGAACAGAGTGTTGAAGATCAGCAGGATCATCATTAGCCTGCTGCTCCACTGTGATCCTGTTGGAGATGGACAAAGGTGGACAATGTGAACAAGAAAATGCTCCCAGTTTTACAGCCCAGAATTCAGCAGCTCATTAGTGAAAGTGACTGACAGAGTGGTGAGTAGCGAGTCCAGGAGCATGGCAGCTCTGATCTGCATAAAAGAAAAAGAACTTCTGCTTTTGAGGTTATTAGCTCTCCATAAGAGCAGGAAAGATATTACTTCATTTATTGACTAATTCTGTATTTGGTAACAAATGTTGAAAAACTTGAAAGACTCCTGCCTGAACTCATCAACTTTTGCAGAAAGTCAAATTCAAAATAAAGGCAGAAAAAACAGAAGACCACCCAATAACTATAGAATAACATAATACAACTGAGATAACAACCATAAGCTCTCTGGGCAAAAAATGAATCACCTTATGTGTTTAAGGTGGTGACTAATTTTTTGTCCAGGGAGCTTGTGAATAAAAATCACTTGGCTTCCAGGTAACAATTGCTTCTAGAGGTCAACGCAGGTCCTTCACAACCAATTTCTGAAAGAACGCTCCACAGGAAGTGATTTTTATTCACAAGCCTGGAACACACCGGCGGTCCCTGTCCGTCAGTTTCGTCTTTTGGTCTCAATTCTGGTGAGAATTGCCTGTAGACTGGGATTTTTGCTGCTGCTGGTCGACCTGTATGGCCGTACGCTACAATACACCTGCATATTCAGCTACTTCCTTCACACTGTGGCCTTTGGCACCCAAATGCAATCACTCCTTTTTGCCAATCATTGGCATCTGCTTTATGACCCATTTTGCACACTTTAAAGAAGACACTAACTGCACTGTACCACTTTTCTCAATCTATGAATCCCAGCACACACCCTGTGGGTTTTTACAGCACGATCATCTTCGTGCAGGGACCTGAAGTTACTTCCACCTTAAACATGCAAGGTGACTAATATTTTGTCCTGGCAGCTTATTTCCCCATTCCTTTGTTATGTGGGTTCATCTTCTACCCTATACAACTTCTCACCATCACCAGCTTAACAAGTAAATCACCTCATGTTAAAAAGTGAGATTTTAATGTTAATTCTCTGCTGTATTGAAGGTTCTGTGTGTTCTCACCATGTGTTGGGTTTGGGTTCTTCACTGAAGGAGGATACTGGAGTGTCTGGTACACGTCCTCCGTCTTCACACACTCAGACATCTCCATCCTGCTGGTCTCCAGTTCCTCTTGTGAGAGTGGTTTCACTAACACTTATTTGGACTCTACTAAATTAGACTGACATAAGCAGACTTTGTTCAGTGTCATGTTTCCAATACATGGCAGATTTTATAGTGTTAGATTTTAGGCAGCTCATGCCATTTTTAGTTAGCCATAATGATACCTGATGTGAAAATGACCTGTAATTAACACTGTTATAGCTTAATGTACAAAATCTGTCATAACGACTCATAACAGCATATCGGTCTGTCAGAAGAAAACCTTGTGTCTCCAAAATGGTAACTTTACAGGAGAAGGGAAAAACATACTTTACTTTTAATGCAAGTCAATGGAATCAGAATTTTTTCCAAGTCATTTTGAGTCATTTCTGTTGGTCCATTCATCACGAAATTTACACACAATGTAAAGAGTAACAGACACTTTTACATTATGTCAAAAACTGAAATATCGAGACACAAGGTTTTGTCCAACAGCGATATGACCTACCATGACATGTTTATGACATGTTTATGACTTGTTTAGTGTTTGTCATTATCAGAGAAGATATTTTATTAGGATTTCAATTAAGCTGCTGCCGCACCACAGTCCTGTTTTGTCATTTTTAACGTGCTTTTGTCAACATAAACACTGAAGAAATGAAAAAAGTGGGAAGAGAATGTTAATCGAGTGTACTGTACGACACACACTGCAGTAAAAGTAATAATCATATCATGGTGAGTGAAATCATCATATCTAGGCGATAAATATAATATTCCTGTAAGACTATTATGAGAGTGTTACTCATTTACAGATTTCTTTATTTATTCGAGGTGTTTTGAAATCGTCTTATTGTCTCATGTTTTACAAGCAAAGCAAAACAATACCTTTATAACATTATCTGTATCTTATAATGTCAAAATGAGAAATATTACATATTTGACTACACATGAGATGTTGCTCATGCCAAGATATCACTTATTTCCAGTGTATAACTAACTGATTGTTACTACATCATTACATTTCAATAATATAGAAAATAAATAGCAACTCTGAGCTTCTGAATGTGAATGTAAAGTAATCAGAAGCCAATTAAGGTTCACTCAGTATGAGAATAGAGGATTGAGTTCCTACCCGTCACTGATGGAACTGCCTGTTGTGTGTCTTCTGTAGTTTTGGAGAGACGGACGTGGCAGAAAAGTGGAGTTTGCTTAACTTCACTTCCTCTTTCTTTCTTAACCACAATACGTTTTACATGGTCAAACACACTGGGCTGCATTCATGTACATACATTTCACCATCGGTCATCTGATTTGTCAGTGTCATCTTTGGTTGGTCTATATGAAAGCACATCTGATTGGAGTGGTGAAAATGTGAGCGTAATTAGGGAAGTTAAGTGTATTTCTAGAGCACCTTTCATAAACAGTGGCAATTCAAAGGGCTTTACATAAAGGAAAATAAGAGCATTAGAACGTTCCTCAGATCCAACTCAGAACGGCTTTTGCAAGGATAGTTACAATTAAAAGAAAGTTGCAAAACAATTACAAAGAAAGTTTACGTCCATTTAAAAGGCCATTTAAAACACCCAGAGCAATGTGATTTCCATCGTGTCTCAAACAGTCCTCTGATCGACTCAGACTCTGAGTTTAGTGCTGATAATCAGACGTTTACAGATAAATACACGTAAAAAAGCAGAAAAAGGCGATAAAATGCCTTGTCCCATTCAACACTGTGTGCACATCCCTCTTTCCCTCAAAATCACATAAACATGCCCTAAAACACATTTCAACAGATAAATAACAATAAATATAACAAATGTTATTAAAAGTATTATTATAAAATTAAATATTTAGCTCTGTCTTTCAGTTTTCATTGATTTTGAGTTTTAAAAATATGTGATATTAAATATGCAACTCAATTTGTAATTAAAAATAAAGGCTTTCTTGCTGTGTATCAGAGTTTTAGCACTCAGCATGAATTCAAGAGGACAGAAAATCTATAGAAACATGTCCACCTTATGCTAATTGTTTATTTTTACTCATAATAACCGACATAATGAATCACCATCAAAATTAGACAATCCAGACTAACAATTTCTGAAAAGGTATCTGAGGTACCACTTGTTTTCAAGTGGCTTGTAAATTTGTGTTCCAAATGCATAAAGATATCAAATGTCTGTTTACTGCATTTACTTGTCAAACAATGGCATATCTGAGTAGCCCAGGGTCTCCTGTCAATAACATTATATGGCGTGTGTGACTGTCTCATGTAAATACTTTATAACTGCAATTGTAATTGACCCAAAAATACCAAAAAATCCCCAAATTTTTAGGGTTCTAAGGGTTAAAAACAAGACCAGCTCTGTTCCAAACATGCCTTTTTAAAAGACTGTTTTGCTAGTTTAAAGACTTTAGCTTTGCAGAAAAGAATCAGATCATATTCTGATGTCATGTTGATGCTAAGCAACACTAACAGAACTGACTTGATTGATTTGGTTTAAATCACATTTTAATGATATCAATAAAACTTATGATAATATTAAACATGGTTGATTTCATCGCAGCGTCTAGACGAGAAGAAGACGGCCATCCTGTCCACCTTAAACACTAAACGATCGAGATGACTCGGAAGAGGCACAACTCTAGCAAGACACTAACGATTTTATTCCAACATTTGAAATTTGCAGCAGTTAAATTGCTTGAAAAGTCATTTGCTATGAGGCCGGCATTAAAGGATTTGGGGGTGGGGTTTAGAGTGGACGTGCTCTTGTTTGCCACCGTCCACCAAAAGTTTAACAGGTTGGCCCAGAATGTGTAATCTAATTAAAAGATCACGTCTAGATCTAATAATCTAATCGCAGTGTAGTTGGAACTCTCTGTCGTCGGTTTAGAGAGATCGTTTATCTGTGGTTGTACTGCAGTTGCATCATGGTTAAGAGTTTGCAGATGGAGTATCTGCAGTGTGGTAAAGTTTAAGATTGTCCTGTATTGTGCAATATCTGCGGTGTGGGTTGTTCTGTGTGGACGCTGACTGTTTTGATGATACAAGCTGACTGTGAGGAATGAGATCTCTGCAGTGTGAGATTTTCCTTTTTACTGTACCTATAAAATGCAATGTTTTGAAGGTCCCTCAGTTTTTGCGCTGCAGTAGCATTGATGCTGTGCATTTCAATATAAATGTGTGTGAAACAAATTAGATTTTCATCTTTCATCAACCACATTTTTTTTCATGCGTCTGCTGTATTTCAACATCCGGTTGGGGAAAGAAACTGTCACTGATTGGTGTTTTCAGTAGGTCAAGGAGCGTGTGCTCACTTTTTAAGATATCAATTTTGTTCTTAACTCTCTGATGCATTTCTGGACAGTATGCAGGTTTGCAGTGGTCACTTCCTCCAAACAAAAACTGACAGTATGGCAAGAACAGGAACCTTACAAGTGTAAACCTCTTAAGAAAGCACAGAGCTTCAAAGAACATGAACGTGGCTTCGTAATTACTGCTTTAAGTTGCCAGTTTTTATTGTTGAAATCCGAGCAAAAAAATCCAATCAGATGAAGATCAGACAGTTGAACCTCACTGGTTGCTGCTAACAGATTCTCTTTAACTGGTCCACACTTTCTATTCTCTTTAGCGCTGGATGCTCTCACTGGAGTAGGTGGAAAGCTAACTGAGTAACAGGTGAGTGCTCTAAAAGGCTTTTTCAAAAGCTGAGACGAACAAAGTAAAGAATACGTTACTCAGACGCCTGTTACAAGTTTAAAATTCCTTCATTTAAACTACAGCTGACATCAAAATCTAACGTAATGCTGTGCTAACATCACTAGCATGATGCTAACATACCAAACAAGGAGCATTATCCAAGATTGATTTAAAAAAAAAAACAAATGAACAGGTTTTTAACATGAGATAAGTGTGCTGCAGAAGTAGGAGTCAAAAAGATTTAAAGAAATGACTTTATTAGCGTGAGTGATTAGAGAAGACCCTCCTGACTAATTTCTCTCCTGCAGGTTCAGGTTTCTGTTGACAGATCAATTACAAACTTAAACACAAAAGCATTTGAGCAACCCAACAATAAAGACTATGTATATCTTAATTATTACCATATTTCTGCAATGTTAAGATGTGTTAGCATTTAACATATTGTCTTTTTACGCTTCTGTCCATAAGCCGCCCAAAGCATCGTGGTGCGCAGGAATAAGGTGGCAGAGGTTTCACTCCAAGCTATTTCGGAGCGTTTCTGTTGATCCACTCATCATGAAATTTTTACATTGTGTAAAGGGCAGCTAATCAGCTCAAATCGTGTAGGCCGTAACATGTTACATCAATGCCCACTATGAGTTAAATGCTGTTTATTTGGTGTTTTGTAAATTGTTGCTGTCCAATGAAAAACAAGTATCTCCAAAACGGTAACTTTACAGGAGAGAGTAAAAACACTCTTTACTTTCAATGTAAGTCAAAGTAAAGAAATTTTACTCACAGATTTGAAGCGTTTCTATTGGTCCAGTCTCACTTTGTAAAGGACGGCTGCTGAGCTCAAACTATGCAGAAACTAAAAATCTCAAAAAATTATGGAGACACTTTTGTTTCAAGAGGTATTTGTCATGTAGAGAATAATGAAGAATCATGCTTAACCTTTTTTTTCATGTGTAATCAAATCCATCTCTTCCAGATTCATTTTCATTTCACGAAGGCAAAGGTGGAGCTGCACTTGGTCCAGGTGGTCCACGTGGTCCAGGTGGTCCAGGTGGTCCAGGCAGCCCACGTGCTCCAGGAAATCCAGGTGGTCCACGTACTGAAGGCCCCCACAGCCCGTGCTCACACACCCAGCCCTGCTCTTCTCCGGGGATGGAAGGCGTCTCCAAGAGCTTCGGATCACCAATCAGTTTACAGCCAGTCAAACATTCATCCTGGAGACCAAACTTACAGCCAGTTATCCACATCAAGAGCTCTACATACATTACATCAACATTCAGTTCATTTACTTAAGTCACCATTAATGACTGTGGAGGTTTAGCTTCCTCACCTCTGCAACCAGCAGCCTCCTCCCTTTAGCCTGAGTTATCAGCCAGTCCTGCAAATCAAACAGCATTAATAACAGAGTACAGTGTATAAACTGTGTACATGTCTGTGTTTATCCAGACTTACAGATACAATCATGTTACAGATGAAGGCAAATGTAGCATTAGGAGTCCAGCCCAAGGACTTCTACTGGTGTAGAGGGGTGTTCTCACCCAGGTGGGGAATCAAACCCCAGTCTGCTGTGTGAAAGGGACAACTATTACCCACTAATGAGTGATAAACATCACTGCTCAATAACATCTGGGGCAACTTTTATTATTTGACTCTATACTTCACTGTAGTCAAGCAATTCATTCCCAGACAAAAGGTAATTTTAGGTATTTTTATTTCTACATTTTGGATTCATTATGTACTTTTCAAACGGCCCTTTTTATACATAGCCCTCCCCATGCCCCCCCATTTCAAGGCACCATCATGTTTGGGACATAGGGCTTCACAGATGTTTGTGATGACTTAAGTGTGTTTAATTGCTTCACTAGTGCAGGTATAAGAGTGTTTTCAGCATCTGGGCTTGATTCTAGGCTTTTGTTCACCTGCTTGTGTTGTTTGTCAACAGGGACCAGAGTTGTGCCAATGAAAATCAAGGAAACTTTAATAAGGCTGAGAAACAAGAATGAAACAGTAAGAGACAGCAGCCAAACCTTAGACTTATCAAAATGAAATGTGTTTTCCAGATTCGTTAATAAATAATGTAAAAAGCACTGGTCCAAGTATAGAGCCCTGTGGAACCCCATAAGCAATTTCCAAGATATTATTAAGAAGAAAAAGAACTAGTGACATTGGTGACCATTAAATAATGGGAGGCCTAGGAGGACCTCCACAGCTGAATTCTGACCACAATGAAGAATCCCTATACACCTGTTCCACAGATGAGAAACACTCTCTAAGAGGCAGGTGTGAATTTGTCAATGACTGCTGTCTGCAGAAGACTTCATGAACAGAAATACAGAGGCTACAATGCAAGATGCAAACCACTCAATTATGTCCACCTGTTAGCAATGGGTGTCGCTAAAACACCTTACCTTAACAATTAGGAGGGGTGTCCCAATACTTTTGTCCATATAGTGTAGCACAGGGAACCCAAATAGACTTTAACAATTTATGACGTTCATGCCAAAGTTTAAATGGTCTTGTCCAGTGTAACAACAACATTATTTTTCTGTTATTCATATGGATGCATTGGCTTTAAAAGGATGGCTTCAAATCATAATATCCCCACTAAATGTTATGCACCAGAAGAGGATGGGTTCCCCTTAAAGCCTTGGCACTGGTCCTTGCCACTGTTGCCTTCAGCTTGCTCACTGGGGACCGAGATTTTCTGTAAAGCTGCTTTGTGAAAACATCCACTATAAAAAGTGCTATATCAATAAATCCTTACTTGGCTTCTATTTTTTGTTTTGGCAAAAAACGAAATGAATATAAACATCCCATGCACACTCAATATAGAAGACAACTTCAGTAAATACAGGAGGGTTTGCATGCACCACTTTGTGCTGGCTGCATTTTAGACCTGCACTGTATGATGTGGGGAGATAAATCTGCAGACAGGTTTTCCTAAATGGGCAGATCTTTGATGATTTGCTGGCTCCTTTGGGCAGATTTACTCTCATTTATCATCCCATTTGTTTCCTTTTTTTTGGGCTGTGTACAAATGCTGCGCATACCCCACACATACGCAACCACACCCCACCCCCACCAGCCCCAGCCTGCCCCACTGTGGTTTTTCAGATGCCTCACTCATGATTAGGTTCTGCCTCAAAGAGGAACTGTCAGAAAACACGCTGACAGTGAGATCAGATACCAGATAAAGATGCAGCTACATGCTGTTTCACACACGTCATCATTATCTCTCGTCTCATTAAAGTCTGAGTGAGTGATGTTCAAAACTGTTCATATAACAAGACTTTCTAACATCGAGAGAATCTGAAATGGCTCTGTAATCCCTTAACAGCAGTATGTAATTGTGATGTACACTGAGTTACAACGTCTATGATATTCCACCCCAAAAAGCATCATCACAACTTACTGTCAGGGAAAACTACAGTTGCAAGAAAAGTGAACCCTTTGGAATTACCCGGATTTCTGCAGTTATTACACATAAAATGTGGTCTGATCGTTACCTAAGTCACTATTATAGACATACACAATCTAACTAAACTAATAACACACAAACAGTTGTACTTTCCATGTCTTTTATTGAGCATGTTGAGAAGACATCCACAGTGCAGGCTAGAAATAGTCAGTGAACCTCTGTGTTAATGACTTCTCCAGGAGGTAATTGGCAAAAGGTGTTTCAATTAGGGAGATTTGTCCATTGAATAAGGGCAGCACACAAAGTCTGGTTAGTGACTCAGTAAAGTCAGTGTGAACCACGCCTCGATGCAAACAACTTTCCGAGGACCTCAGAAGACATGTTATAGAGGCACATGAGGCTGGAAAAGGCTGCCAAAGCATTGCTAAAGGATGTACATCAATATACGGTTAGATAAATTATCTGTGGATGGAGAAAATTCAGGACCATCCTGTTAATGTCACTCCAAGAGCACAACAGGCAATCTTGAAAGAGATGAGGGTAACAGGAAGACCTGCAAAAGACTCTACAAACTGTGAAAAGTCTTTGTTCATGTGTCCACTATTAGAAAAACACTGAACAAGAGTGGTGTTCATGGAAGGACGCCACAAAGGAAGCCGCTGCTGTCCAAAACAAAACATTGCAGCCCATCTCACTTGGATGTTCCACAATACTTCTGGCAAAATGTTCTATGGACAGATAAGACAAAAGTGGAACTTTTCAGCACAAATGCGCAACACTATGTTTGGAGGAAACAGGACACTGCACACCAGCACCAAAATCCCCACTGCGAAGCATGGTGGCGGGAGTATCATGGTTTGGGGCTACTTTGCTGCCTCAGGGCCTGGATGCCGTGTGATCAATGAGGGAACAATGAATTTAAAGGTGCATTAAAACATTTTACAGGATAATATAAGGGTATCAGTCCATGACCTTAAGCTGAAGAGATGTTGAGTGATGCAACAAGACAACGACTCAAAGCGGATTCCTGACCTTAACCCTATCGAGATGCTGTGGTATGACCTGAAGAGGGCTGTGCAAGCAAGGTTCAGAAATACTGATGAACTGAAACACATTTGCAGGGAGGAATGGTCCAAAATTCCTCCTCAACGCTGTGCAGACCTTACTTCCAGCTACAAGAAACATTTGGTGGAGATGACTCCTGCTAAAAGGGGAGGCTATTAAATTCAAGGGTTCACTTACTTTTTCCACCCAGCACTGTGGATGTTTACACAATGTGCGCAATAAAAGACATGGAAAGTACAACTGTTTGTGTGTTCCAGGTAATTCCAGCAAATCCAGGTAATTTCAAAGGGTTCACTTACTTTTTCTTGCAACCGTAGATGTTACGTCAATTTGACAAGTGCGACCTTAACGGAAAATGACGCCTACTGTAAAAAGAGTTTATAAATGTTTGTGTAGGTTAATGTCAGTGGTCATGCAGGGCTTATGAACATTGCTTTATGAACACTGCTTTACAGAACAGCATTACGGGTTTCGTATACCTGGTTCCTCTGTGTTAGAACAGCGAGTCTGATTTTGGATCCTTTTGCTTTGCAGAACGTCACTGCTTCAGTGCAGTTCCCTTCCGCCTCCCAGATGAAGTAGAAGGAATTATCATGGTGAAGCCACGCCTCTTTATTCGCATCCAATACCAACCCTTTGGAAAAGGATACATACAAAAAACACAGTAATTATTAAAGTAATTTAATTATTTAAGTTTCTAACGGAAGTCATCAGAATCTGTAAGGCAAGTCTTTCTATGCACATTTTATACACAAAAGCACTAACTGGTGGGTTTTACATGAAGAGGTGGTAACCAGTATTATTACCAGAGAGTCTCAGGGATTTTAATCCGTCTGAATCTGTCATGTCAGTCATTTTCACTCCCACATCTCAGTAAAGATTCCAGCACCTTTACCTTCTATAAAACAAGCCGTAGAAATAAGCTTAGATCAGAGGTCTCCAGCCGTGGACCTGGAGAGCTGCTTTCCAAAGGAAGCAGAGAGCGGCCAAGGGAGCACAGCTGCTGTTGCTGCCTCCCCCAGTAGTGCAAGCATTGATGCGATAAACCGTGAGGAGTTCCCTGCATGTGTGCAGGTGGGCGCAGTGATCAGTCTCTCCACTGTGGCGCCCTGAGGGAGAGGACGTGGGGGAGTACATGGCAGAGGAGTGCACACCCCACGTCAAGTGTATTTACCAGAATGGTGAACATTCCAAAACCCCTGCTGAGGAGGTGAGGTTTCGCAGATCGGCCACGCCCCGAGGCTCTTGGGAAACACCGCGTTCATGGAAGGAAAGGCCTTAATGTGTAATAAGTTGTTGTTGTTCAGCTTAAAGTTGTGCACGTGTTGTTTGTACTGTTCTGTGCTGGGCTGTGGGGCAGTGTTAGCGCCACCGCCAGGAGAAAGTGTATGTCTAACAGTGACCTGCCTGCTATCCTAGCAGCACTGAGCAGCAGTTCGCCCTGTTCAATAAAAGAGCATCGCCTTTAAAGCGCAGTGTTCCCATCTGATAAACGCTACACCTGAAAAACCTCTGAGTATTTGAGTACTTAAATTCATCACTTGAATATTCAAACCTGTGATGTTCCTTGGTTTGTTGGCTTCCTCGCCAGAGGTTTGTGATCCACTCACTTCAGCAATTTGTTGGTCTTTTGAAACTGCAACATGAGAGTAAGTTAAATTCCACATTTAAAGTGAAGAAGGAAAAATTACACCGTAAAATTGTTTTTTAACATGAGTTTTCACATAAGAAAGTAACCTGGCTGCCTCAAAACTGTCATTTTATTAAACTTTAAACAATGAGGTAAGAGACTGTAGCACACAAGATTATTGTTTTGTTAACCTACTACTGAATGTTTACTGAACAACCAGTTTTCTTACTTTTATAAGTTAAAATGATTGTTGTTTTCTTACAGTGCACATTAATTTTAAATAAACATTTCCTCTTCTAATCTGATCACTGATAAACACAACATTTATTAGACATATATCAGCATTTATAAACAACTTACTGAAGAGCCCGAACAGTATCAGCATAATGATCAGTAACAGAGTGTTGAAGATCAGCAGTATCATGATTAGCCTGATGCTCTGTGGTGATCCTGTTAGAGACGGTGGACAGTATGAAAGAAAACATCTCAGTTTTACAGGACAGAACTCAGCAGCTCATCAGTGACAGTGAGACTGATTTTAATTCTCTGCTGTATTGAAGGTTCTGTTTGTTCTCACCGTGTGTTGGGTTTGGGTTCTTCACTGAAGGAGGATGGTGGAGCGTCTGGTACACGTCCTCCGTCTTCACACTCTCAGACTTCATCCTACGGCTTCTTCTCACAAGGCTTCTTTAACTTTCATATGAATGAAATCATTAGAAACAACACGATCACTAAACCTGCTGCTCACCTTCACCACTCCTGTATTATTTTATATCGCTTATTAAATCTAATATGTAATGAAGAGGCTCGTAATTGACGTGTCTGTAAAGTCACTATAAACTGCTTTTCTTAAAATTCTTTCTCAATTCAGTTATATTTTCATTTATACTAACATTGTCACCTTTTTATGGACTCAATACATTTTTATCTGTAAAATTAATAAAATTCTTTTTTTGGATCCATAGTAACGATTGATAATAAGAGCTGTTATTCCTGTTAAGGGTTAGCTGTTTTAATAGCACATGGTTGTATTGTTATGTGGAGGTATTGATGTATTGGTGCTGATTGTTTTGTATGTTCTACCTTCTTCATAAACGGTGGTGATAATGTTTCCCGAAAGTGTAGCACTACCTAATCTGGGTTCTTGCTTGCAGGGTAAACGTGGGTAGACACAACTTCCACATCACATCAGGGTACAGACTATTACTGTCAGCAGTGCAGTCATCACTCTACATATTCCAACACATACACTTCCTATAGTGAAATAAAACAATCGTAATCAACCGGAACACTGGATCCACACTTATCTGACGCTCTGTGTTAAACAAAGCTTCTTTAAATAAGGAAAATAGTAGAGCATACTTTTAGTTACTGAGTTACTGGATCATACAGCTTTATTTATTGCTCTCTTTACTGTGCAGTAAATCATTTGAATTCTGTCTTATTTGCTGTTACACATTTTTTAATTCTTCACAGAAAATGTGAAATGTTTAAACTCTCTTGACTCTCAGTCGACTCTACTGGTGGTGTCTCTCTGAAATCTGTGGGTTTGTTCTGGACTAAATTTTTCAAGTTTCAAGATTTCAGATGAGAGAAGTTGTAACCGACTAAACGACACCGAGCTCAGGTTTGTTGACTTCCAGGTCTTTGTTTGAGGTGAACATTTGTAGCTTTGATCGTGTTCTTTCTCTCTCGGTTTCAATGTCTTAGAATAACAATCGAGGATGAAAAAGTTCCTCTAGGTTAAAGTTAAAGGCTGGTGTATTTTGTTTAGGCTGTTAATCCAGTTCAGTGCAGCTTCTGCTGTTGTTTTTCTAAAAGTTTATTTAATCAATCAAACTCACTACTGACCTTCACCACTCAGAACTCTTCACGAGTCCATCAGCCGGAGCTCAAATCAGCTTCAGCACATCAGAAGTTACTGTTATTGTTGGGAATAAAAAAGCACAAAGTAATAAAACATGATTTGGTGTTTCAATCAGTAATAATTACACAGAAATTAGGACACATTGTTTTTCTGTTAACTACAGGTTAGTTTACACCGAGTTCAGTCAGATTCCTCATTTTTAAATTTAAAAAGTCTTTGTTTGTGTTTGTAAGTAGAAGAGCAGATATTAATAATGTATCTTTTATATGTTAATGTATTTGTATTAAATTCTTGCTTTCCAGAAATAACAAACATAGTTTTCATGTTTGAGTCAAAATTAACACTGAAACATTTGGAAAGAAAGTGAAGTTGGTACAGAATGTAAATCACCTATGAGTCTAAATGATTAGACGACTCTGTAATTAATTATGTAATTACATAAATGCATTTAAATAGCACACAAAAGTGACTGATTACTCCAGACTGAATGTTGATGTAATGTAATCAGGAGCTCAATAAAAGAGTATAAAACTGTGTTCTTACCCGTCACTGATGGAGCTCTTCTGTAGCTTTGGGGAGTCAGGAGAGGCAGCAACTGCAGCTTTTTTTTCTTTTTTTTTTACCCACAATGCACTACACATCATAGAGTTGCGTAACGGCAAATCTAATAATAAAACAGGCTTATGCAGATTCTTTCATAATGCATACCTCTCTAACACACTTTTCACTGTTTTAACTGTCAAATTTAGGAGATAATTATAATCATTATGTAAAATATCAACTACAAACAATTTCAAATCATATTAACAAATATTTCAAAGTTTTTCTTATATAGAAGTTCGAATTTTTTAGCTTTTATGTTGTTAAAGCATCATGATTAGACAGCAGTCCTGCACTTTTTTAGGCTGGAGGGGGGGCAAGAGGGGTTGGGGAAGATTGGGTAGATACATCTTTACATGATTCAATTCTGTTAAATATTCACTCAACTTTAGGGAATTATTTACAACATTTGTCTCAACTTTCTGGAATCAGATACAATTTCTGCTCAACTTTCTGGAATTAGACTAAATGTTCATTTAAAAATGTCTCATTTAGTGAACAGAAATGTTTTTGTGTGATTTGATACACAACACTGAAAGCGTTACTGATGGAGAAATGAGAACTGCCTGTGGGCGTTTCCAAGTGCACAGACTCGCCTGTTAGAACTTTGGTTCAGTCTCCAGGCTGAGATTCCTCCCCTCACAGCCAGAGAACACAAAAGAAAATGGTACTTCAGTAGGGATGAACACAGAACCATGAAACAGGTAACAATCAACCATAACACAACAGGTATTATACAGAAGACACTAAGTCTGTGTCGTCCTCTGGTGGTCATCAGGGGTCACTGTAGTCCTCACACTGAGTGAGTAAAAAGACCAAAAACATCACCTCTCCAAAAACTAAACAGTAAATGATTTATTCCTGTTTTAGCACGAGGTGGCAGTATTGCAAAGGTATATGTGGATATCAGGCCCGTATCATCTGAAACGACATACTCTATAGTATGGAATTTTACATCTAGAATGTCATTAAAACATCTTTTACCACAAACACCTGCACACAAATGATGAACCGAAGGCTTGAGGCAATGGCAGATAGCACGAATTTTGTAATTGTTTTACAGTGCAAATGTAGTTGTTGTTGTTGTTCTTCTTCTTCTCCAACATCCAGGACACAGGCCCTTATTAATCAGTTATATATCAGTTATAAACCAGTTTATCATTCATCAGTTTATCTTTGTCAATCTTTGCCTTTTATCATTACAATCAAACTCATGTAAGGTTTGTGTGTTTGTAAAATTTAAGCTGAATATTTTACCAGCATGAAAAATGTTGAAACTGGCAATTTTCAAAATAAAAGCACTCAAATAGTAAGACTTTTGACAATGACTTTAAAAAAAATCACTCTTAGAGGTACAAATTTTAAAATTACTGGCCATCAATATTCCTCTCTTCTCCCAGAAATGGGCTCCCCCTTATAACTTTTTCCACACTAACTAAGTAAAATATGCTGGAAATACTTTTCTCAAATAACAATACTGTCCTAAATCTTTAGTGTAATCAGGGCAGGTTTAGAATAATGACAGCAAACTTGGCAGCAAACATTCATTATAAAAATATACAAATTGGAAATGTAAAGTCCATTTTTATATGCATTGTTGCAAAATACGTTACTAATGCTCTGTGCTGTTCTGTTCTGAACATTTTTGTATTTTTATGAGGAAAAATGATTCAGCATTTACAAACTATAATTTTGCACAAGAGCTCCATAGGAACCCATTCAGTTTAGACTGGCTCAGGAGCGCCTTCTAGTGTTTTACAAACGCAGAACACACTGCAGAGTGGCAGCTCTCTCACTTCTCTCTGGCTGGACCGCAGTGGCTTCATGGTTGAGAGTGTGCAGATGATCTGCTGTGTGGTAAAGCTGGAGAAACAGTCCATGACTGTGTAATATCTGTGGAGTGGGTCGTGACTGTTTTGACAACATGAGCTGACAATGAGAAATGAAATGCAGAGTGATGTTTTGCTACAAGCCCTTTTCTCAGCAGCCATAAAAGGCGAAGTTTTGGAGGTACCTTAGTTTTTGCATACTATAGAAATGATGCAATATACTTCAGTGCAAAAGTATCTGATGCAAAATGGATTTTCATTTTTGCAGTTGGATAAACACATTTAGAGAAGTCATTTATTGTGTTTGAAAGCTATTTTTAATTGTGCAGCTGTTGGATATCATCACTGTCTGTTAATTCTTAATGTAAAATGAAAAAAAAAGTTCCCCTTTGCCTCACAGATAAAGTAGAATGAACCTTCATAGAGAAGCCACGCCTCCTTTTTCTCATCTGGCTCTTTGAAAACATTATAGTGCAGACATCTTTGAGTGTAACGTAGAATAGCCTTGATCAGGGCGTCATTTAGGGTGTCACAAACCAATCATCATCCCCCACTAAACCCACTGCTGTTCATACATGCTTCTACAGTGGAAGGAGGGAAAAACAAACAAAATTAAACTACATTTTATGCTAAAATAGTGAAATATCATAGTCTACATCAAAGGGTTTGTTCAGATGGCACCATAATATATTTCAGCACTGTTTACAGTTTTTTTTTTCCCACAGTTGGAGCCGTAACTAAAAAGTAAAAGTAACAGTTGATAATAAAAGAATGCACAACATAAATCAATAACTAAAACATACCATAATCTTAGAATACGTTAACTAGAATCAAGTAAAACAGTGTCAGGCTGAGCGTTTTGAGGTGTTTAGAGACTAAAAGTGTAAAATGTTCATGTGACTCCATGAAACACCCATCAAGTATCCTGTCTTACTTCCAATAAGGATGATTTTTGGCCAGGTACAGATATATCCAAGCAGGTGGGCTGACTTAGTGGGCTAACTTAGTTGGCTAGCATTCATTTGCAGTACATTAAACACCATGATTATGATTATTATTATTCTAATAATAAAAATAATAATAATAATATTTTTTTATTAATTTAGCACTTTCCATGCTGGTGGCAGCTCAAAATGCTTTACAGACAGGAGATAAAGCTTAACAGTAATAGAAGAAATTATAAGTATTAATTTAGAATCATATCAGAAAATAACAGATCAGATCAAAGAGATAAAGACCAACGAGCCGTAGAGTTTTACTGAAGCTCTGAGTTAAAGAGTCGTAGAGTTTTACTGAAGCTCTGAGTTAAAGAGTCGTAGAGTTTTATTGAAGCTCTGAGTTAAAGAGTCGTAGAGTTTAATGAAGCTCTGAGTTAAAGAGTCGTAGAGTTTTACTGAAGCTCTGAGTTAAAGAGTCGTAGTTTTACTGAAGCTCTGAGTTAAAGAGTCGTAGAGTTTAATGAAGCTCTGAGTTAAAGAGTCGTAGAGTTTTACTGAAGCTCTGAGTTAAAGAGTCGTAGAGTTTTACTGAAGCTCTGAATTAAAGAGCCGTAGAGTTTTACTGAAGCTCTGAGTTAAAGAGTCGTAGAGTTTTACTGAAGCTCTGAGTTAAAGAACCGTAGAGTTTTACTGAAGCTCTGAGTTAAAGAGTCGTAGAGTTTTACTGAAGCTCTGAGTTAAAGAGCCGTAGAGTTTAATGAAGCTCTGAGTTAAAGAGCCGTAGAGTTTAATGAAGCTCCGAGTTAAAGAGTCGTAGAGTTTAATGAAGCTCTGAGTTAAAGAGTCGTAGAGTTTAATGAAGCTCTGAGTTAAAGAGTCGTAGAGTTTAATGAAGCTCTGAGTTAAAGAGTCGTAGAGTTTAATGAAGCTCTGAGTTAAAGAGTCGTAGAGTTTTACTGAAGCTCTGAGTGAAAGAGTCGTAGAGTTTTACTGAAGCTGAGTTAAAGAGTCGTAGAGTTTAATGAAGCTCTGAGTTAAAGAGTCGTAGAGTTTAATGAAGCTCTGAGTTAAAGAGTCGTAGAGTTTTACTGAAGCTCTGAGTTAAAGAGCTGCATTTTCAGATGTTTATTAAAAGTGAGCTCTGAGCTCGACTGTCTAATAAAAGCTGAACTGAGCTCCACAGTTTAGAAGCAGAATAACCGAAAAAGTCTCTCCACGTTTTCTGTGTTGTACTGAAGGAGTTTGCAGAATCTGCAGATTGTAAACAGACAGACATTCAGGAGCTTTAAGGTCATTTAGAACTTTAAATGACCTTAAATTAAACTCTCTCCTGAACGATACAGGCAGCCAGTGCAGCTCTTTTAAAGTGGGAGTGATCTGATCTCTCTGTTTGTTGTTGTTAGGATGCTGTATTTGTACGAGTTGTAAAGGACGTATTGTTTTCTTAGGAAGTCCAGTAAGAAGATCATTACAGTGATCAACTCTGCTTCTACCAAATGCATGAACAGGTTTCTCTGCGTTGCTCTGAGAGAGAAAAGGCTGAACTTTATTGATATTTCTCAGATGACAGAAAGCTACTTTAGTGACTGTGTTTACATGCAGATTAAACAGAGCTCAGAGTCTAAGATCACACCCAGGTTTAGTACTTCAGGTTTGGTATATGAAGCTAAAGCACAAAGTTTCTCATGAAGCAGCTTTCTCTGAGTTATTGTACCAACGTGCAAAGTATTTCAGTGTTTTTCCTGATTTAATTGTAGAAAATTTTGCCACACTTACTGAGAAATATCTCACATACAGCTGGTCAGTCTGTCTACAGAGTCTTGATCATCAGAAGGAATGGAAATGTATAACTGGGTGTCGTCAGCATAGCTATGAAAATTTATGTTATGTTTCCTAATGACATCACCTAGAGGTAGCATGTACAAAGAAAAAAGCAAAGGCCCTAAAACTGACCCTTGAGGGACTCCAACAAGAAATGCCAAATCCTGTTGATGAACGATTCCCATTGAAACCATGAACTGCCTATTACCTAAATATGATTTAAACCATTCTATAACTGTGCCTGGGAGGCCAATCCAGCATGTCTCATTTAAGATAAAAGCTTTGTCCAGGTTTTGTGTTATAACTAGCAGGGCAGCTTAGTAATCTCATTATGGCAAATAAATAAGAGGAAATGGGGATAAAATGTTTAGATTTTAGAAAAAGCTGC